GGACTGTCCCAGTTTTCAGATGGGAAGCTGAAGGTCATCAAGCCAGTGGCTCAGAACCCTCAAAGTCTGCCCCCAGGGACCTTGGGCTTTGTGTTTTACACTGGTCCAGTTTCCCATTGGGATCAGCTACTGAGGAGGCTGGGGTACTTCCAGGGAGTGAAAAGGAAGAGTCAAGATGGCTATAGTTCCTTTATCAGCATGGCTGACTCTTGGTCATGGCCAGTTCTTTGTGGACTCCGCTCAGAGCTACTCAGGGCCAGACAGGGATGATGGGGGCTGAACACGGGGAGGCTACATCTCCGCATGCAGGCGGCGAACAGAGCACCCTCCCCAAGCCCAGGCCAGAGTTGGGTTACGAGCCCTGAGGGTCTCTTAATGAGTTCCACTTGAAGCGGATGGCTGAGAGAGGAAATGGGAAGGGGCTGGGGAGGGGGACAGGGGCCTGGAAAGGGATTGGAAACATGTGGTAATGGGAGAAGCCAAGGCAGGCTCAGTCCCCACAAGCTCTCCTGCACCCCAGATTGGCAGACAGGCTCCCAGGCCCCCACAGGAGGCCCCAGGCCAGTGGTCGGATGGGGGCGGTGCAAGAGGGTCCTGGGAGGCTTTTCTCTCAGACAGAAAAAGTCTAAATCCTGGCTCTGCTTGTCTAGGGGCCTGGACCACAGGGATTGGGGGTACAGAACCTGAAGGGCAGGAGAGGACAGGGACAAAAGCCTCCTCACTTCCAGAGACTAGCGACAGAGCTGGTCTCTCAAGTCCTGCCCTTTTGCCAGGCCTGGTGGTTTGAGGAGTTAATCGCCAGCCTGAACCCCACCTTGGCATTCTTCACTAGTGCATGGGAAGGCCTGGCATGAGGCACCTGGACTGGCCTGGTAGTTGGAAGTCCCACTGGGAAAAGGCCATGCTGGTATGTGGTAGATGGTGGAATCCAGTAAAAGACGTGCGGCAGTTGGGCAGTGGAGTTTGAAGGCAGCACAGAGCACAGTGGAACCCCTCCCAGGAACACTGGCTAGCGTCGGGGGCACCGCTAATATAGGCCCAACGCTTGGGTTCCAACCTACTCCGTGGGCCATGGATCTCATTCTACTATAGACAAAGTGTGCGTGAACTGTCTCAGCAGCCCACGAGGCTCCTCCTGCTGTCACTCTGCTATCAGTATGGAGGCTCAGAGGCAAAGTCCTGCATTTCTGGCTGCAGGGAAGTGGGTGCGGAGGCCCTGGGACTAAATAGTGAGGAGTGCACCATGGGGGATGGGAGCCAGGGGCCCGCTTGGCCTGGCTTTGGAGGAGGCTGAGCAGGAGTGGCATGAGCTGTCTCACCACCTTTCTATCATTTACTCGCTTTCGGCTTGACCCTTTGGCAGCTTGAGTTGCCAGGGGCGGGCATGTAAGCCTACAGACCAGGTTGTAAGGCTTTGGCTACTTGCTGGGCTTGCTGCTGAGCTGCAGGAGGGGAAGAGGGGCGTGCTCTTGGGGAGCTTGGTGGTTCTCACCTGGCATTCCTGCCTGAGGCTTCCACTACCACAAGAGGGGTCTGTGGAACTGCAGCTCCTTCCCATCAGAGGCACTGGTTCTCAACAGGAGCCTAGACACCACTCAAAGGGCTGTGAGCATCCTTGTGGGAGCTCATGACTGGCCTTATTCTAGGTGCACCTCAACTACCTGGGGGAGATGGTCACAACACACATTCCAGGGGCAGCCTCAGAACAGAGGTCAGTCTCCCAGCTACTGCCAGAGTCCATAGCAGCCAGGTTTCTGGGACAGAAAGTACCTACTTTTTTCCCAGAGAGCAAGGCAAAGGTGCGGGCACACGTGAGCTGCTGCCTGGAGGGGCAGGAGCGCTTATTACGCTGCTTTTCAGCTCCAGGTTTTAGAAGCTTCCAAGGGACAAATTCTGCAGCAGCTGTCATGGGAACAAGATTCTGGGCACTGAGCAGGGCTGGGGGGAAGCAAGCATGTGTGGGCCCGGAGCGCAGGATCCCATCCCAGCCCCTAGCATGAGGGTGCGTCCTTGGCTGGGGTCAGAGAGTCTGAGGGGCTCAGTGTAGGTGGGGGCCGGGTTACTGCAGCCATTTCTTGAGCAGCAGGATTGTTCTAGAGAGATCTGCCAAATCCCAGAAAGGCCCCAGGCCAGGCCAAGCCAAGCCTGGTGGAAGGCAGAGGGCTGTGGGAGGCAAGGGAGCTGGGCATCCAGAAGCAAGGGTGGCATCAGCTAGGGCTGGCCCTGAAATCAAGGGGACACACAGGCCCTGGGAGGTGAAGGAAGTCTAAATCACTGAGTGCCGATATCCATCAGGAAGGTGGAGATGGATAGGGTGTTGGTGTGTGTGGCAGCTGTAGGCTCAGCCTCTGCCACAGGGGACACACCAAACAGACTAAAGTACCCTTTCCAGGAACACACGCTGTGTCTGAAAGAGAGAAGTGGAGGCTGAGAACAGGAAGTGGTAGGAAAACCAGCTTCCTCCCTTCTTCCCAGTGAAGAGACATCTCCAGGAAGTAGGAGTGGGAGGGGTGGCCTAGGGAGAAGAGGTCCTCAACTGACTCCAGGCCACCCGGTTGGTGGCCTCATCTAAGTGGAGACACCTACCCCTACTCTATAAATAGGTTCTCTGGAGAGGGCTTCCTTGTGCAGGAGGGCCTGGCTCCCCATGCTTTCCCAGCAGCTAGGCTGCACTCTGGGCTGGCTCAAGACCCATCCAGAGCATAGTTATGAATACCCCACATCCTGGGCCAAAAAACAGGGTGAAGCTTCTAGAGGGACTCTTTGTTAGTGTGGTGGAAGTGAGCTCAGGGTGCTCCCGGTGCTCCACCTGGATGCAATGTTCACAGGAAGTGGAACTATGTCCCACCAGCCGGCTGCTGCTCCCTTAGCAAACATGATTCTCTCTTCAGCAGCCCAGGGTGGGGTGGGACAGATAGAAGTGGGGCTGCTTGGTGAGAAACTACCCCTGTGCTCCTGGGCCCCCTCAAATGGGCATGCACCAGTTTAGGCTGGAGCCATCAAGGGCCTACCTTGAGCAAATCTTTAGGAAGATGAGGTTAATGATGGGGAGCTGGGATGGCAGGGTGACTCACCACGTGCTGGCTTGCTCGGCGGGCTGGGTTTCCAGGATTCTGGGTAATCACAAACATCCACCCCAAAGCCTGTGCTAGCCCTTGCGGTGGCAGAAGAGTTGGCGGCTTGGCGGTTTTGGAGTTCTTAAATCCTCACACTCCCAACTTTCTTCTTGCCCCTGGAGCTCGTGGACTAGGAAATGAAGGCCACTTAGAATCTGAGCCAGGGAAACCCTGGAACTGAGTCCCCTGTTGCCACTGACATGAAGAGCCAAGGAAGAGAACTGGCTATGGGGTAAACGAGTCATAAAGTGTCCGCATTCTGAGGATTTCACAGGGGCCAGAAAGTATGAGGGGACTTTTCAAGACCACAGAGCCAGGACCTGGGCAGGGGACGAGGAACATCATCTCAGTGTACTGCCCTGCCCCTGCCCCAGATGCCCACCACCAGGAAGGAATGATGAGCTATGGCCAAGCTGTCAGAGGACAGAGATCCCAGGACAGAAGACAGGAAAATGGGAGAGGCAGACACTGTGGAAACAGCCAAAGGCCTTTGGGGGCCCTTTTAGATGCCCCTGGTGGGGGAGTGATACTCAAAGATGAGGGACAGGTGGGCTTGCCATGAGTGCTGGTGTTTTGGTCAACTGGACAAGCTAGGGTCACTTGGGAAGAAGGAAGGCACCTCAACTGAGAAAATACTTTAGTCATCCTGGCCTGTAGGCAAGTCTGTGCGGCATTTTTTTTTTTTTTTTTGTATGGGAATTTTAATGACGGATGTGGGAAGGTCTTAAACCCCTTCGGTTCCACCCCTCAGCTAGTGCTCCTGGGTTGTATAAAAAAAAAGCTGACTGAGAGCAAGCAGTGTTTCTCCACGGCCTCTGCTTCAGTTTCTGCCTCCAGCTTCCTGCTTGAGTTCCTGCTGTCTTCCCTCAGGGATGGACTGTGGTCCGGATGTATAGGCCAAGTCAGCCCTTTCCTCCCTAAGTTACTTTGGGTCAGAATGTCTTATCACAGTAGAGGAAACAAACTAGGATGTGGGCTGTGAGCACGCTTGGCAACTTCTTCTTAGGGTTTTCCTGGCATGGTGCTCTAGGCCCACCAGGCGGCCACCACTGCTTCTCTGACAAGAAGTGCAGGTCTAAGCTCTGGAACCTGGAGAAGCTCTCCATGGCAACTTAGATTCTTCTTAGGGGGAGAGGCAGGGATAAGGATGGACATGAAGGTGTGTGTGTGTGTGTGTGTGTGTGTGTGTGTGTGTGTGTGTGTGTAGAGCTAGTTTGCCTTTCTGGGAGCTCAGTTACTCAGATCCAGTATTTGAGGCACTGGCTGAACTTTCAAAAGGGCTGCTTTTGTGCTTAACGACAAGAGGGAGTGGGTGTGGTCAGGAAGGGTCGATTGCATCAATTGGGGGGGGGCATAAATACGACAAGAAAGGTCCTCCAACCTTTCAATCCACCCAGGACCCCTGTGTTGGACCTCCTTCCATGCTTCATAGTTGTCCAGTTCAAGGAGCCTAGAATTTCTTCACAGGGGTAGGAGATGGCCATGTAGCTAGCCAATGCCAGGAGTAAGGACACTGCAGAACCTCTTCTCCAACAAGGCAGATTCTGAGTTGGGTCTCATGGTAGCAAAAAGAATCCTCTTGGGAAGATCTTGGCCCTAAGTGAGCTTTGACCTTTCCAAAGTCTGCCCTGGGCATGGAAGTAAAGATCACCACTCATTCCAAGAGACGTGTGTTGGCTGGGAAGCCCAGGGGTAGAATGCACGCCTACTGAGAACTGTACTTTCCCCAATCCCAAGGTCACTGGCAGCTACTAAGGGCCGTGTGTGTGTGTGTGTGTGTGTGTGTGTGTGTGTGCGCGCGCGCGCGCGCGCTGTAGAGACACCTCAGGAGAGCTGCTCTCTTACTCTCTCCATTGTTTTGACAAAATACTTGGCAAAAGCAACTTCAGGAAGAAAGGTTTATTTGGTTTACAGTTCATCATGGCAGGGAAGTCAAGGCAGCATGAGCTGCTGGTTTCTGTGAACTCACAGCCAGGAAGCAGAGCGGGATGAGAGCTGATGCTGTCCTCCTACCCCTCTCCTCACCTGCTTTTATGAGACAGGGTCTCACTGTGAGGCCTGCTTGCCTCTACCTCCTGAGTGCTGGAATTAAAGGCTCATGCTCCCACGTGGGCCTGTCTACACTGGGCCTGCCTCCACCAAGAGAGCCCATGCTGGGCAGCAGAATCAGCATGGGAGGGGATGACAAGTCCGGCCCCTTTGAGTTGGCTGCCAGCTAAGGCTCATGGGGTGGGTGCTTACTATGTCCCGAGGCAGCTGAGCAGCTTTCCTGCCAGAGCAGCCACCAGGCTTCCCATTCCGCAGTTTCCTAGGGCATCTGGAGAGTCTCTTCTGTCCCTCACAACTGGCTCTGCCATCTAGTGGGGCTGGACAGAGCAACAGGTTCCCTTGAGCCACTATTTGCACTGGGCAGGGTGCAGCACCTGAAGGAACAGGGGTCATTACTTCAAAACTCAAGTCACAATCAGAGCCTTAGATAGGTTAGACCAAAATATTGAGGGGTATAGCAGGAGGTTGAGGGGCAGGACCAAAGTCTGACCCTGGAATTCAGCTTTCCTCACCTAGTGCAAGTCGGAGGAGTAAGCTCCCACACTTACAGTTTATCATAGGTTGGCCCCCTCACCGGTCTGAACTCAGACATTCCGGCTCTGTTTCTCCTAGAAACTGCAAGGGCTGGACAATTTCGGGAGGTTATAGCACTTCATGCCACCCCACGGCAGGGCAGTATGTTAGGGGATACGGACCTCCCTGGTTGGCTAAGTTACCCCAAGATGCTCAAGGATGAAGGCACAAACAACTCAGACATAGAAAGCACTTACTCTGGCTTTTGTAGTCCAGATGTGGAGGAAGGGCCCTGGAAACCCCCGTGAGAAAATGAACGAAAACATGGTGCCTGGGGCTTCCACATCCCTAGGAAAGCCAGTTAGGGGGATGTGGGCAGTACACAGGGGCTTTTGCTACCCTTGTACTCCAGTACCCCTAAACAGGTGCAAAAAAAGGTGTCCCTTGGTCTCTGAGCCTTCCCTACCTCCCACTGCTGCTGTGATTCTCCCATTATGGACCTTGGGATGGGAGGACTGATTAGATCTAACCCAGAACAAGCCATTCCTGCACAAGATCAGTCAAATTAGTTTTAATTTTCAGATTCCTTTGCTCTCATGCATGTGGGGAGGAAGAAGCCCTGGTAAATATATGTGGTGACAGAGACTTAAGCCATTGCAAAGACTGTACCCATTCTACCCAGCTTGTTCCTTGTGACTCAGACAGCCCCCTGGGGGCTCTTGGGGGGGATTCAGATCGAGAAAAAAAAAAAAATCTTGGCTCATCCAAGCAATGGGCAGCCAACTTAGAAGCCAGTCAGGGGGCTGAAGGTGAGGTGAATGAAAACCTGGCATGGTTCTTGAGAGAGCAGCACCATCCCAGGATTCTGAGGAAACACAGTTCGAGTGGCTCCTTTTTGTTAAACTGAGCGTGGCCTTGCCTGCTGGGTCTCAAGTCTCCTTTCTGTGTGGCTCTGCCCCTGAGAGCTTCCCATCGTCAGATGGAGAGGCTCCAGGAACAAACAGCACTTGGGGGAGGGGGAGCACCTAACCCCAGACTGGGTACACATGTGGCTCCCTCAGGGCGGAATCCCTTTATTTATTTACTCAAGTCCCCGTACAAATCCCTGGCCTGCTATCCCCCTAATCAACTGAGCTCCTGATCCTTGCTCCCTCGATCACGGTGGTGTTCTCTGCATGATTAGCTGCTGGTTCTCCAGGCATTTCTTCAGCTTGTCTTCTGTCAGGGTCAGCCGCTGTTCTAGAATGGACACTGTCTGCAAAATAAAAGGTGTCAGGCTCAGGATGGAGGGCCCACCTTGCTGCCCTCATCATAATTATAAGCCACTTCAGCCTGCTACCCCAAAGGCTGGGTGCCTCACTTCCCACCAACGGGCTCTGCCTGGCCTTTCATGACCTCTGTACCAAGGCCGCTGGCAGGTCTCACAGCCCTCGGTCATTCCCCCAATACAACCATGGCACAAGGAATTTTGAGCCCTAGTCTGGTACTCCTGCCCATGGCACTACCCTTCCCTCCGTGCTGAGGGCACTCTTTCTGAGGCTGGCAGGGGATAAAGCCGGGAAGTGAGGGCCCCCTCCCCCCAGCCCAAACCCAGACTGAACCCTGTGAGGACAGGGTGAGACCGTGCCACCTGGGGTTGAGCATGAGGGTCACCAATGGCAAGTGACAATACCACATGGAACCATTTACTTCCTCACACCCAGCACAAAGGCTGTCTACACTGCTAGTCACCTGAGGGTACATGTACTTCACAGACCAAGACAGTCTTGCAGACAGGGCTCCACAAAGGTTGTGCAAACCTGTCTGCTTCTCCTGGCTTGGGGCAGTGTCAGTAGCGGGAAGCTACACACTTGGCAGAGGAGCTGCCCATCCCTGGCTGTCCCACCAATCACGCCTACCCTAACACTTGCTGGGCTGACTCTGCTGGTCACCTCATTCCCACCACTGAGGGTTGCTGAATGCCTACTGCATACACAAAGGCCACATCAGCCACTGAGGATAAGGTCACTGCAGGCAAAGCCACTTTGAGCACAGCAGCCTTGGTTCCCCCTGGCACTGGGAAGGTCAGGTCATTTCAATAGAGATATTGTCCCAGCCGGAGCGGTGGTGCACAGTTTTAATCCCAGCACTCAGGGAGGTAGAGGCCGTCATATCTCTGTGCGTTCAAGGCCAGCCTGGTCTACAAAGTGAGTCGAAAACAGTTAAGGCTACACAGAGAAACCCTGTCTCAAAAAACCAAAAAAAAAGAGATATTGTCTCATTTCCTGAGGCTCCATGAAGGCTCGAGCCTGATCCAGCAGAAAGGAAGCTTTCATACACTTAATAAAATATTTTGGGACATTGTGGGAAAGCGCTTCCCCTTCAATGAGCTATAAATTCTCATAGCATCCTGAGTGGATGTCAGCTCTCACAGACTGCTCCGTCTGATGGCTGGCCCCTTCTGAATGAGCTGGCCAAGGATAGGAGGACTCTGTATCCTAGGTCTTAGGACAGAACCTCCAAAAAAATAAAAATAAAAAATCCCTGCCTGTGGAACATTAACTGGACCCCCAGAGGCAGAGCTAAGCTGAAAGAACTCATCATGTCCCCAGGTTGGCCAGCCAAGGAATGAAGAGCGGGTCTGGTCTCGTAAAAGTGGCAGTGGAAACAGCCCCCGGCTGGCCTGGAGCAGCATTCCTGGAAGTTTCCGTTGGCTGCTGGGAAAGTTGCACTGCCAAACTCACTCTTCTTCCAGCCCCTTTCTGACAGAGAGCCGGGACTCAAGGCCACAGTGGGGGAGCCTGGCTGGTGGCATTTCCTTTTCTGCCTACTTCCCCCTTTACACTTTTAGCAGGAACCCGATTTATACTGGGGGCCTCCACTTGGTTCCATGGTGGGGAGGCTGTACCTCAGCCCAGCAGGAATGTGGTCATTAAATATGTCTATATTAGATTAAATTGAATTAAAAAGCATCCTCTGTTTAACAACTCACTCATGGAGGGCGCTGGAGACACTTGTTTACAGGTCTGAAGGGGTACTCCAGACTAACCTCACACTGGTGGCAATCCTGTCTCAACCTTTCCAGTGCTGGGCTGAGACACGCACACCATGCCCGGAAAGGGCACCTCAGGTGCCCCTTACCTGCATCTCCTCCAACTATTTTTCTCTAGCTTCACTCCCTGCCATCTTTGCATCTGGACTACACTTCCTGGTCCATTCTGCCCGAGTCTATTCTGCCAAAGGGTCAGGTGGCAGTCGCCACCAGGGATAACTACCAGGCTGTTCCAATATACATTTGAGCTTAACTTGTTTTGTGCCTTAAGCATGGGCTTGGGCAGGAGAGGCTGTTTAGATATCTGTACATTAGAATGCTGTCTGGTATCCTCTGCTTCATTTTTTCCCCTTCCATGACCCTACTCTAAAGAAACACACAAGTTCATTTTCACAGAGAACAATGATCTCCATGATAGAGCTAGACCCAGGGAACCACGTTGCTGATTTCTGCTGCAGTATCTTAGGGTGAGACCGAAACTCACATTAATGCGGATTGAATAACCCTCCCAGAAACATTCTAGATTTTTCTTCTCTTTCTTTTGTTTTGGGACAGGGTCTCCTGTAGCCCAGGCTGACCTTGAACTGAGGATGCCCTTGACGTTTTTCCTGCTTTTTTTCTCCTAGTGCTAGGATCACAGGCATATATGAGCCACCATGCCTGATTAATGCCCAGTTTGGTGTTGGGTATCAAATCTAGGGCTTTGTGTATGCTAGATACTTGTACTCTCCCAACCCAGCTTTTCTTCCAAAGGAGAGGGTTTCCCAGCAACAGAAAGGCCCCTAGGATGCTACTCAGGCATCTGAGTAGCAGATTACACACTCAGCCTGGTGATGCATTGGTCAGGATAGGTTGCCACTTTGCCAGGACCTAGAGGAGGAAGGAAAGAACATCTGGGGTGGCATGGAGGACATCTGGGGCTTCCTTGGTAAGGACGAACCTTAGGCCACTTCACGTGGCCTTTGCATAGTGTGACTTTTCCCTTTGGTGAGCACGTGCCTACACACAGTGTCGGGCATTTGGAGGAGCCAGTATTCATGTAGTGTCTCAGTGTCCGGAGGACAAGAGAAGTTACTGTTCCCTCTTACTGTCCGTGCAGGGGAGCTGGTCACACGGGCAGCCAGCTGCTCACCTCATTTCAATCCCCTGGGTCCTACCCTGGGGAGTCTCCTGTCACAGAGGGTCTGTTCTGGCTGGACTGAGACCTAAGGCCAGATCTTACTCTCAGAGTAAAGGATGCCTTCAGTACTGGGAGCCCAATACTCCATAGTCCACCAGCTTTGACTCCTTTTTATATGAAAGCGGATGAGAACTGGCCTTCCAGCCCCTCCAGTGATCCATGCTGTCTCTCAATTTGCTCTGACCAGGAGAGCAGAACCCCAGAATAGTCCCTCAGATAGAAGTATGTCAGATCACGTCACAGGTGCCTGAGGGGGAGAGCACCTGTCACAACAATTTCTAGTCCCAGTGTCTACACACAAGCAGCCAAAGAGAAGGCTAACTCTTGGCCGCCGTCCGTCCTGGCTGAGGCCTTTCAGAGATCCTAACTCCAGTTTGCTAGGGGACACCCAGCAGCCTTGTCACATACCTGGTAGCACTGAGAAGCACTTTCCAGACTCCAGGCATCCCCTCCCCCAACCCCAGGCAAACCTTCTTTTATTTGCCTAGAAGCCATAAAAGCAAGAAAAAAATGTGGGCTGGGGGGGATGGCTCCCCAGGTAAGCCACAAAAGACTGCCATTCTGAGTTTGATCCTCAGAATCTATGACTGAAGAACTGAATCTCCAGAGTTGTCTGTCCTCTGACCTTTACATGCACGATGCAATATGCACACGTTTGAATGTGTGTGCGTGTATTTAAGTGTGTGTACATCATACAGATACACTTTAAAAGAAAGAAGAAAAAGAAAAGGGGGGGGAGAAAAAAAAAGAAAGAAGAGCTAATGTTGTCTTGTCCAGGAGTCAGTTGGTGTACAGGTGCCCATCGTTCAAGGAGGCCAATGGCAAGCTTTCCAATGGCCAGGGGCTGTGCTGGCCTGCCTGGCCTCAAGCTATGCTGGGGAAGTCAGGCATGAGCAGGGGCTGGGGAGGAGCCCAGCAGACAAAAGAGACATCCACAGTAGATGAAGGAGAGGGCCTCAGGCCCCACAGCCTGCTGACGTGGCTCTACCTTCACTCTCAGAGGAGCAGAAGAGGGTGTGAGATGATCTGGCTGCTGCCTGGGAATAGTCTGGAAGGGGCTTCATAGCTGTGGGAAGGTAAGGTGGAATCTAGAATGTGAGGGGAGAGGGTGGCTCAGACTGGATAAAGCAAAGCCCTGGAGGAAAGTAGACAGAATTAGAGAGCCCTCTGAAGGGTGAGCCAAGACTCAGGTTAGTGAGGAGAGGCCAGGGGAGACAGGGAGTGTGAGGTTCCTTGGAGAGGACCAAGGAGCCCAGTGGGCCTTGTAGTGGCCTAAGAGGAGGCACAGTGAGCAGCATGGTGTGTCTGAGTCAGTCCTCCCTGCTGGGACAGCTGGGGTGGGCAGAAACGGAGGGGATGGCAGTGCATCTGTAAGCCCCTGATGTGGGAAAGGGGAATGCAGTCTAAAGGACCAAGGGCCCTGCCAGGAGTCTACTGAGCCCTGTGGAAGATGGCCAGGGAGGGGCTGCCCAATCTGGGTGAACTGATGGGAGGGAAGTAGTGAGGTGTTGGGGGCGAAAACCAAGGCACAGTGAGAAGAGATGGGGCCAACCCTTGGCTCTGGGCAGCAGATGAGGATTTAGAAGCTGGGACCAGGGGGTGGGGCTTCCAGTGTGACTCATCCTGGGCTTCTGCAGGAAAATCCTCCTAGGATAGGCTCAACAATGGTATTCTATTTCCATCCTGATTTTCCTGCAAGGGGAGGGGAGACAGTGATCTGTCTCCCGTTAGGGCAACATTCGCAGGGCAAGTGCGCCTTCTCTCACTCAACAGTTTCAGGCGAGTAAGACATTTTATGTAACACCCTGAAGGGCCTTCTAAACAGCCTAAAAGGAACTAACTTTAAAGTGACAGCCTTTATTTTTAGTCACCTAAGAGCTATGGCGATTCTCAAAGAAGCTGCACCAAAATGCCAAGCCTGAGATGTCTGGCACCCGGGCCCCCACTCCCTGTGGCAGAGGAACATAGCACCAGGGTCGTTTTGATAGATGCTTTCCTGTACCAGCATAGTAATGAGGTGTCTGTGGAAGGCCTGCTGAGATCC